GAATTAAAATAAACTAAAAAATGAAAAAGGACCCACAAAACAACGGCTTTTGATAAACCAGATAATATACTTTAGACAATGACTGAGTTTGTCGTTGTTTGGGGGTAAATTAACTCCCTTATACGCATTTTTTAGTTTATTTTAATTCCAGCCTCGTTTCCACGCCGAATTGAATGGGGTTGTAATAAAACCCGTTTTTAATCAACTTCCCCTACAGAGACTTTTAGAGACTTTTGATATGTTATAGAGGACATGTTCCTGAGTACGAAACCGTTGAAAAACCTTCTTTTGCAATTAGTCCCAGGTTGAGCCCTTTTTTCTCATAAAATGCCTGGACTAAAAAGTAATTCGATGGTCACAGGTGAGTTAGATCCTTTGAATAGTTATACATCGTTGTATATTCTAGCTAAAATTGCTTCTAGCTAGAATATATTATTCTATTACCTTCATATACACATGGATCCATGCATGCACATACTACACACATACACATGTTTTATGATTTTAGAGATATGGTCATAAGAACGATAGATGGTGTGCATGCAAGTGATAATTTTGCTACTATCTGTGAGCTACCAGTACAATATCTGGTTTGGCAGCCATGGATTTTTAACTTTTCGTTTTGACCTTGTTCTATCCAGTTTACATTTATTTCAGCTCTGGATGAAGGCGACATAGCTCTACTGAAGACTTACGTAAGTTAACAACCCATTCCCGGATGGCATTTATGTGTAATCAGTCACTCTCTTCTATTAGCTTTTGCATAATTTTTTTCTGAGGTTAGCTTCTGATGCAACACGCCTTAGGTAGTTTCTATAGCGATACGCCTCGGCCCTTGATCCACTATTTCGAAAACACTTGTTCACAAATCGCTTCGTCACCACATAGCACTCCACTTTATTGTACTGTTTTGTCCCAAAATCCCTACTATATCATGGCATTGGATTGAAGCGAATTTCTTTATAAGCCAATCACAACACAGCACTTGTACAATTGTACTTCATGCAACTAAGAATGGCACTGTTATATGTAATTTAATATCCAATTTACAGGGTGCTGGCCAGTACAGTGCATCTATTAAACAAGTTGAAGATGACATGGCAAGCATTGCTAAACGCGTAAATGAACTAACAGGTGAGATTGATACTGACCTACTCCACATGCATCTGTGCATACTATATACTGCATCAAGTGATTGTTGGGGTAATAATGAAATGTGTTCATAGTGCAAGTTAAAACTAGACTAGGAACAACAAGCAATTGGATGAGAATCAATTATTTAGCCGTACGTGCTCAAATGTTCATGTATTTAATTTTATCATTCTGCTACGGGACTTTGAAATCAAAGCATGTCATATACAATCTATACTACAAAAACATCTAATAGTTGCATGAACACACAACTATAAACATGTATGATTCAAGGGCATTATAGGTTTTGTTGTGAAGTCAATGCAGATTGATCAATGTGATCAAGTGCCAATGATGTATGTCAATGCCCGGGACCCGTATGCATTATGTCATTACAATTTACAGGTATAAAGGAGTCTGACACAGGGCTGGCACCTCCAGCCTTGTGGGATTTAGCTGCAGACAAACAGACACTTCAGAGTGAGCAGCCTTTACAAGTAAGCTCTGATGTGACTGCATCTGCACTTCAGTGACACAGTGATCGGTTTGATTTTAATTATAGATTTGATTTTTTGATAGTGATCGGTTTTTCCATTGTCATTGTATTTTTAATTATTGTTGTTAGGTAGTATTGATCTCATTTAACAGCATCGGGATGATAATGGTCTACACCCTCACCATTCTATGTACTTATTGAGTGACACTTGGATTACACATTAATTAGGTGGCCAGATGTACGAAGATCATCAATGCAGATTCCGATGATGCCAAGTACATCATAAATGTCAAGCAGTTTGCCAAATTTGTTGTGGATCTAAGTGACCAAGTGGCACCAACAGACATTGAAGAGGGAATGAGAGTAGGGTAAGGTGTAGGGCGACTAAGTCAGATTAAATGAGAAAAGGGATATATCTTGTAGAATAATTTGGAATAAGAATGTGAGTATTAGAAAGGGTTGGAGGGAGGGAGGGTGGGGTAGGGCGAGGTATATGGTCCCATAACCATGTGGGTATGTACTAAAATGATTACAAAACGAATTATTATCGTAAGAACTACATGAGACCTGCAGATTCGTATGTATCGCTCACTCCACATACTTACAGCATTTTAATGTTTTTCAGTGTTGACAGAAATAAATACCAGATCCACATTCCACTGCCCCCAAAGATTGACCCCACAGTCACTATGATGCAGGTAAACTGACCGTCTCTATAGGGTTCTTAACCTGTGTGGTCCATGCGTGGATGGGCTTCAGGGGGTCCGTGAACCAGGTGCATGCAGAATTTTGTGTTTATGTGCTTATGTGCATTTTTCTGGGAAGGGTCCGTAGCTTTCACCAGATTCTCAAAGGGGTCCACGACTCAACAAAGGTTAAGAACCACTGCTATAGATTGTTGAACGTAGTGAGGTTGGCCAACATTGGAGAGTGTTGCAAAGAAAGTGTGTGATGGGAGAGCTATTGTGGGATGAGACTAAACTCACAGTTAGAGTAATGAAGGGTATTCTAGATAACCTGTTAATTCGTGCAAATTAAGGATTACTAATCATTAAGATTATGCTCGTTAATCCCGCTGCTGCCTCTAATGCATTTGCTTTGAATTTCGTAGGTGGAAGAGAAACCAGATGTGACATATAGCGATGTTGGAGGCTGCAAGGAGCAGATAGACAAACTGAGGGAAGTTGTCGAGACGCCGTTGTTGCATGTAGGTAGCCCCGTGCTGGTTGCCTCCTTGGCCTGGTGCAGGAATTTACACAATAGAAAAATCGTCTGTCTTTTCAGTCAAGAATGGTGGCCCAGGGTGGTAAAAACATGACTCGCGTTTGAATTGAGGTTAAAGTCGGAAATCGAGTTGGGGTAAAGTTAGAGTTAGCAATAGTGATTTATGTAACTATACCAGTTACCTAATCTTCACCTTAAGCCTAACCTCATGGCAGTCGAGGTGAGTGATGAGTTAGTTTCCGTAACTAGTGTAGCAGATAGCGTCAGAAAAGTAAAAAAAAAAATAGTTACTGTACACTGGCGATGTTTCTGTTCCCAACGAATAGCTCGTGTAATGCCTGCAATAGTAAAAAAATCCGGATATTACGGACTTGCCTTGCAGCCGGAAAGGTTTGTGAATCTCGGAATAGAACCACCGAAGGGTGTGCTGCTGTTTGGTCCCCCCGGGACAGGCAAGACACTGTGCGCTCGTGCCGTCGCCAACAGAACTGACGCTTGCTTTATTAGAGTCATCGGTTCAGAGCTGGTGCAGAAGTACGTCGGAGAGGTGAGATTATTGTGTTGTGTAAACGTGTAGTTACATTATGACCTATTCTCCGTAGTGTGTTCTTCGTTTCTACGCTCGCGTCTCGGCATTGTGTTAACGTGGCACTCTGCTCTTCACTGCAACACCATGGCCATCGACTATCTTTTGTGCCATGTTGCCCTGGCTACCCACACTCGTGTGCATTGTTACCATGCTTGTCTGCCATCTTCCGTGTAGGGAAGCACCAGTTTCAAGTGCTTACACGCTCTCATTCAGATGCTAAAACTATACAGTAAGTTCTTACCAGCCAGTCTGTAGCTGTAATGGTGAGATTGTGTTGATCTGTGGGTGAGTGTCTGTGTGTTTACGTCTTGCAGGGAGCAAGGATGGTCCGGGAGCTGTTTGAGATGGCTCGTGGCAAGAAGGCCTGCATCGTGTTCTTTGACGAAATTGATGCTATAGGAGGTGAGTGAGAGAGAATGCACGTCGATCTTTATTTGATTTCTTCCGGGAGGACCAGGATAGTGACTGGTTATGATCACAGATGCAAGTATTCACAAGGAAGAAAAACAAAAAGGGTGAGGGACATAGGGAAGCTATAGGGACATGGGGAAGGGTGAGGGACATAGGGAAGGGTGAGGGACATAGGGAAGCTATAGGGACATGGGGAAGGGTGAGGGACATAGGGAAGCTATAGAGGCATGGGGAAGGGTGAGGGACATAGGGAAGCTATAGAGGCATGGGGAAGGGTGAGGGACATAGGGAAGCTATAGATGCATGGGGAAGGGTGAGGGACATAGGGAAGCTATAGAGGCATGGGGAAGGGGGAGGGACATAGGGAAGCTATAGAGGCATGGGGAAGGGTGAGGGACATAGGGAAGCTATAGAGGCATGGGGAAGGGTGAGGGACATAGGGAAGGGTGAGGGACATAGGGAAGCTATAGAGGCATGGGGAAGGGTGAGGGACATAGGGAAGCTATAGAGGCATGGGGAAGGGTGAGGGACATAGGGAAGCTATAGAGGCATGGGGTAGGGTGAGGGACATAGGGAAGCT